CCCACGGTGACTTCCTGCCCCGGCGCGCGGCTGGGCCGGGCCGGCGCTTCCTGAGCGCACGGACCTGGGGAGCGGCTGCAGTTCCTTTCTCTTCTTAAAGGTTAAAAGACTTGACTTTCCAGCTTGCCCCTGGCTCCGCGTAGCGCCGACAGTCTTCTAGAAGCCAACACTGCTGGAAAGGCGACCCCAGGAGGTCGCGCTGCACAGGAAATGGGCTGTGGAGGTTGGCGTTAGCTGTGGGAAGCCTCTCTCCTTGTGACATTTTTTGGAGCTCATGTTTCTTTTTCTGAGAACCTTTGAGATTAACTTTTTGGCAGATTAAGTTCATTAATGAATTAGCCTGTCAAAAATCTTAGGGTTACAAAATAGCTTTGTCCTGTTGTTTCTTCTTAGTAGCCCTAAACACCTTTAAAAACCCTATTTTTTCAGGAGCCCACAGTCATAGAAACAGAATCCCATGGCTCTTGTAACTTTCCTGCTTTTGCAGTTCCCCTCGTTTTCAAAATGAGGCTAATGGATTACATGACCTCACAATTATCCTAACGTTCTTTGTTTTTTAAAAATTCATTTATTCTATTCAGGAAACGTTGGTCACACACACAGTTCCAACCTCTGTCCTGGGCATTAAGGAACAAAAATAGTTCTTGAGGATGTCACTTATCTACTACTTGGTTTCTTTTAATCTTGGTATATACCATATGGGCCACGTTACTCTGTAATAAATAACTTTGCCTGAAGTTAAATACATATCAAATGCAGTTACAATGATTGACTTCACTCTAATCAAAGTTTTTTTTTTCAGGCTGAGATATAACTCAGTGGTAGAGCACTTGCCTAGCATGCATGAGGCCTGGGTTTGATTCACACCACCACCCAAAAAAAAAGGAAAAAAAAACAAAAACAAAAACAGAATTTTCTCAACTTTAAGCTATTGGCTCATTTAAAATACAAGCTAAGTACAAAAGAAAGGACCTGCGTGGTGTTGGATGGTGCTTTTCAAGCTTTAGCATGCGCACATCACCCAGGTCTCTCAGTTTTAATCTGTGTGTCTAAAAGGTTATGCTGTTGCAGACTACACTTTGAATGAGAATATAATTTTAAAGATACTATAATGTGTTTAAAATGGTATTGATGCAATAACAGTTGTATTGTGTACATGCTCATGACTTTTCCAACTCCATTTAAAAAAATATTCTAACAAAAACAGTCTCCTTCATAGTTTTTCAACATTCTTTTTTCTCCTCTTGCTCACCATTCCTTCCTGTGTCCTCTCAGCTGTTTTTCCTCTCTTACCCCGACCTGTCTTCATTCACATTAGTTTGTTAATCCACGTACTCAAGGAGTGTGCATTTTACCTATTCTGTCCAAGACATTGTTTTAGAGTCCTGATGAATGTGTAGAAGACACAATTCCTGTCTAGGAGCTTGCTTCCTTTGGGGTAGGCATGTGATTTGTCTATGATTCAGAGCACTTGTAGGAACCATTTGTAAGGAGTGAAAACATGAGGTATGTGTTCATTCAGAAGGAGGGATCTTGGGCCTGGGATATAGCTTTGTGCCTTCCTCAAAAGTGTAAAGCCCCGAGTTTGATCCCTGGTGTTGGGGAAAAAGAAAAAGAAGGATCTTTTCCAGTTGTATGGATAGGGAACAGATGAAGTTGTTTTTTTCTCCTTTCCGAGTCATTCTGTTCCCCAGACCACTTGTCTGTATACTGTTAGAGGGTGTGACATATCTGCAGAGAATAGGCAGTATGAATTAGTGCAATAGAACCCAGGGTAATCTGGATACATGAAAATCAGTTTGATCTGAGCATTATTATAGGAAGGGTGAGAGGTGGAGGGATGAAGCATCCCTAGATAGAGACCAACAGAGAGAGGGAAAGAGATGCGGGGGAGAGAAGACAGCAAGGTCCAGTGAAATAGGAAAAAGAGCCCGTTGGTAAGCTTTCCATGTCCCTGTTAACTGTTGCTTAGGCTGTGTTACTATCTTTTTAAAATGAAATTAGCTGGCACACTATTCTTCATGCTTTTCATTGTCCTTAAATTGGCCTTTCTTAACTAGAACAGTTGAGGGGAGCATTATTCTCTAGGCTATCACAGTAGCTGGCTAGTCACCGTCACCTTCTGTCATTGGCCTTCCTTGCTGACATTTGATTTACATGTCTCCTTAGTTTTATGTCAGCTCCTTCATTTTTGTAGTACCAGGGATTGAACTCAGGATCTTGCACTTGCAAGGCAGGCAGCGGCACCACTGAGCTAAATTCCTGGCCCTTTGTCAGCTCCTTTAAAATCACAAATTTAAAATCATACTGAGAGAAAAACAGTTACAGGAAACAAAATTCTCCCAAACTTTATAACAATCCATTAGGTATACTTTAAAATTGTAGAGTAAAATTCAGTTTGCTATTTGTGACAAATTAAACATATAGACATACTGTGTCTGTAATCCAGTAGTTGGTTTAGTTTTCTCTTTTTTTATTTTTTGTACTAGGGATTGAACCCAGGGGTTCACACTGAGCTATATCCCTAGCCCCTCTTTGTATTTTATTTCTTTTTCTTTTCTTTTTTTTTTTGGTTTTTTGAGACAGGGTCTCACTACGTAGTTGAGACTGACCTGGAACTCACTATGTAGCCCAGGCTGGTCTGGAACTCACAGCGATCCTCCTGCCTCAGCCTCCTGAGTGCTGGGATTACATGTGTGTGCCACCACGCCTGGCTTTTTGTATTTTATTTCAAGACAGGGTCTTGCTGAGTTGCCCAGACTAGACTCACATTTGCAATCCTCCTGCCTCAACCTCCTATAGAGCACTGGGATTAGAGGCATGTGCCACCATGCTTAGCTCATTAGGTTTTTTGCCTGGGGGAGGGAGGGGTACCAGGGATCAAACTCCAGTTCTTGCGCTTGAGAGGCAGGTGGCAGAACCACTGAGCTAAATTCCCGGCCCTCTCATTAGGTTTTCTATAGTAATGAAGAAATGGAGTTGTAAATCCAAAGTGGCAAGTAGAGTTCTCTACCACTGAGCTGTAACACCAGACTGTACTTTGTAAATTTTATTGATGTGTAGATTCAGTAAATGCACAGATCTTGAGTATCCAGTTCTTGGAGTTTTGATGATTTTATACATTGTAATTTCTACCAAAACGAGACACAGATCTTTTACTACCCTAGAAAGTTCCCTCCTGCCCCTTTCCAGCCATCCCCTCATCTTTCCTTCTCCAGAGCAGCTGCTTTCTCACTCCACAGATTTCTGACTCATGAATTTGTTTTGTCGAGTCATGAACGTCACATAAATAGAATCACACAGGATGTGCTTTTTCATACTGTTTAATAGTATTTTGGAAGGTCATTTGTGTTGTGTATTAATGACTTGTTGAATAGGATTCTGTTGTATGACTATGTCTAATTTGCTGATACATTTTCCTCTTGATGGACATGGGCTGTTACCAGGTGTAGGCTCTTTAAAAAGTGGTTATGAAGCGGGGCATGGTGGCCTGTAATCCCAGCACTTAAAAGGCTGAGGCAGAAGGGCTTCCATAAGTTGGCAGCCAGCCTGGGCTGCAGAGTGAGTTCAAGGTAACCCTCGACTATAGGAAACCCCTGTCTCAGAAAAGCCAAAAACAAAAAGTTGTAATGAACATTCTTACACGTTTCTTATGGACATACATTCTTGTTTCTTTAAGAATGATTAGGAATAAAATTACTGATTTAGCGGGTATATGTATGTTTAACTTTGAAACTGGCAGGGCCTGGGGCTGTAGCTCAGTAGAAAGTACTTCACATGCTCAAGGTCTTGATCTGAGTTAATTCATATGTTTAGGGTTGCTAGCCTTTTAAAAAATATAAACGTGTCCCCCTTTCTTCCTCTCTCCCTCCCTTTCCCCACCTCCTCTGTCTATTGTCTTTGTCTCTCTGGCTCTGTCTCTGTCTTTGTCTGACTTTCTCTCTCTGTCTCTCCCTTCATGTGTCTGTCTGTCTTGTCTTCCCTCCCCGCAGGAGTTTTTTTTTTTTGATACTGGGAATGGAACTTGGGCCCTTGAGCTTACAAGGCAGGTGACAGGACCACTGAGCCAGATCCTCCGCCCCCAGTCTCTATGTTTCTCAGGCTGCCCCTGAACTCCTGAGCTCAAAGGATCCTCCTGTCTCAGCCTCCAAGTAGCTGGGACCACAGGTTGCATGCCAGCAAGCCAACCTTTTTATTTAGTCACCCTAGAGGATGTACAGTGTAGTATCTCATTGTGGTTTTAATTTGTGTCTTCATGATACTTGAGGATGTCGAGTGTTTTATCATGTGCTTGTTGGTTATTCAACACCTTTTTTTAGAGGAAGGTGGTACTGAGGGTCAGTCCCAGGGCGTGCTCAGCAGGGCTTCTATCACTGACCTACACATCCTTAGTTCCCAATACTGTCTTTTATAAATATGTGTTTATTTGTGTATTTTGGCTGCTTTTTCATTGAGTCATTCTTTTTTATTGTTTGTGGAAGGTCTTTATATATTCTTAGTACAAGTCACCCCACCCCATT